CTTCAGGGCACGTCGGCTCATACGTGCACCCGCTCCCCGAGCGTTTACACGGATCAGCTGCACACAACGTGAGCACAGCACATGAGCTGCGTCCCGCAGCATCAGCAAACGCACAACGATTTCAATGCTCGGGGGCGCGCGTGTTTTCTTTCTCACTCAGCGTGCACCAGCTCACATCAGCATGCATGTGAGTTCACAGCATCAACGCGTGCCCGCTTTATAACTTATTAACAAGTGGCAATGAGCGCGCGCTCCAGACGGATGGGCGAACCGTTTTCATCCGGGGATTCACGCTGCAGTACAGCTCAAACCCCGGTGCAGAGGAACTCTGTGACGTTTTCTGTCATTTCTAGAACAGATCTCGTCTCCTCTCGCAGAAGCTCAGGAAATTCTGATTAAAATGTAATTTCTAGTTTCAGAAGGAGAGGAAAACACAGGGTTCCTCTCTCGTTACTCCTTGGTCTCAACGAACCAGAAAGATGAGATTTATTCTAGATTTGTCCATTTTTGAACTGTGAGAAACAACCCTCCATTAATGTGCCCGAACCGCTCTGCAGCCGCCGCACAGATCAGGGAGGAGGATGCTGTTTATCTGGACACCTGCTGCTGCTGAGCAGTTTGTACAGACAGGTGGCAACAGCGCAACTCACGTGAACCGGTTGAGTGATATCAGCTGTTTTCCATCAGCAGACCTACGTCACACATGTCAGATTTCACAGAGGCACACACATTTAACGAGCTGTGGGGGCGCTGTGGTTCTCCACACAGCAGCTCATTTAAATGTTTTTGGAGTGTCGCACGGGGTTTTGGAATGTGATTCAACACTTTGCCTCTGAGCTGCGGAATCATCAGGGTTTTTGATTCACACAGACAGCAAGTGACTGTTGCATACATAACTGGCAGGAGATGTATGCGCTCAACCCATGTGCCACATTGTGAGACAGATGCTGTGTGGGGCACACCCAATCTGCTCTCCATTGGAGTAGGGTGCATCTCCTGTGTTCTGAACAGGGGACGGATGTGATGTCCAAAGACAGTCCTTTGCGGCACGGGGACCAGGGACCTTCCACCCAGAGCTATGGCTCAGACACGGCAGGAATCCTGCGAGCGGCTGTGGACGTGTAGCAACACGAGAGAATGCTCAATGTCAACTATAATTATCGTGGAGCCACGGGACGATCCACCACTAGGGGTGGACGTGTCTGCTCACAGCCTGTGGTCGTAATGCTTCTTCACCTCCCTCACTCCCTCTGATATCACGGTTTTCTGAACCGAGCTCAGGAGGAGGGACTGACAGCTCCTCTGTCCCAAGTGCATGAACGCATCATGGTTCCCAGGCCTACGACACTTGTTATCAGGGTGCTCGTGGAACCTGCCGTGGAGGGAGGTCGCTCTCCTCCAGGCGGGAGGAGCGATCAGGAGTTAATCAGAATAGGCCAGCACCTGTGGTCTGGCCGCTGTGCGGATCCTTTTGAGAGGATGGATCTCTCTCAAGATTTAGTGCGTACGATTCAGGATTCATGTGCTATAACCACCACAGCGCTGTTCACATCAAGTGGTCAGTTTTTCAGCACTGCTGTACAGAGAAAGGTGTAGAGGCCATTTCATGTTCACTAGGTGGTGTGCCGCCCTTTCTGCAGCAGCTGACGGACAGAGATCTGGCGTTCAGCTCGAGTAAAACGTTCACTGCGGCCATCTCTTCCTATCACAAAATTTTCGAGACAGAACAGTTTTAATCATCTGCTGATGAAACATTTTGTAAAAGGTGTACAGAGAGAGGCGTAGAGGCCACTTCATGTCCACTGGACGACATGCTGTCCCTTTCTGCAGCAGTCGAGGGACAGAAATCTGGTGTCCAGCACGATTATCGTATGCTGCAACCATGTTTTCTTCTTGTCTCAAAGTTGTCGGAGACAGAACAACCTTTAATAATCCTCTGACAGAGCATTTTGACTCAGATTGAAATAGCAGCTGTGGGCCTGTTTGTGACACGAGAAAACGCTCAGTGTCAATTATGGTTTTCTCTGAGCCCACGAGACGAACCACCGCTGGAGGTGGATGCGTTTGCCCACAGCCCATGGCCCAAAATGCTTCTGTACGCGTATTCCTCCACCTCCTCTGATTTTACGGTTCCTGAACCGAGTTCAGGAGGAGGGATTGACAGCTCTCCTGGTGGCCCCCGAACGCGTGAGCGCACCATGTTTCCCAGTCCTACAACGCCTACTGTCGGGGCGCCCGTGGAAACTGCCATGGAGGGAGGACGCTCTCCTCCAGGCAGGAGGAGCGACCAGGAGTTACCAAGAAATAGGCCAGCACCTGTGGGTCTGACCGCTGAATGGATCCGCTTAGAGGATGGGTCTCCCACAGGATGTAGTGCGCACAATTCTGTTTTCACGTGCTGCATCTACCGCAGCGCTGTACACATCAAAGCGGACAGCATTTCAGCGCTGGTGTACAGAGAAGGGTGTAGAGGCCACCTCATGTCCATTAGGTGGCATGCTGTCCTTTCTACAACAGCTGATGGACAGGAACTTGGCGTCCAGCACGATTAAAACGTACGCTGGAGTCATCTCTTCCTGCCACGAAGGGTTCGGAGACAGAACAGGTTTTAATCATCCGCTGATTAAGCGTTTTCTAAAAGGTGTACAGAGACGCAGGCCAGTTTCACACCCACTTGTTCCACAGTGGGATTTAACGCTGGTCCTGCAGGTCCTGATCAAAGCTCCATTTGAGTCTTTGGATCAGGTTCCACCTAAATTCTTGTCTCTTTAAACAGCCCTGCTGCTGGTTTTAACATCCGCTAAGAGGGTGAGGGACTTTTTGCCTTCTCTGTTGCTCCGTCATGTCTCAGAATTCAGCTGATTTAAGACCAAAACCCAGCTTTTATGCCTTAAAACATCACGAGCTCTTTTAAATTCTAAATTTTAAATTCTTTTAAATTGGTTCTAGAATTGCGCCGCTCAAGGTGGCTGCATGTTGGAGCAGCTCTGTTACTTTCATTCTGAGATTTTGCTTTTGGAAACTTTAATTCCTCTTTTTCTGGATGTAAGTCACAGTTTTTGGATGATTGTTTCTTCTGGTATCGGATGCTGTGCAGCTGGAAGGATTTTTACTGAAACTTTTTTAGTTTTGGACATTTGTTATGATGTGTAACCATGGCAACAGGGCAGTTTCTACAACCAACAGCAGCTGATTAACATCTCAAAAGCTCAAATAATATCTCAACTACAGCCCTAAATTTCAAATGAGTTGAAAAGGATGTTCTGTGGACGCATTTTCATCTACCTGCCAGCTGTGCTCGAGTGCCTGACCACTGAGATCCTGGAACTAGCAGGAAACACAGCTCATGACAGCGGAAGGACAGGATCGTCCATCAGCACCTACAGTTGGCTGTCCGCAGCGATGAGGAGCTCAACAAGCTGCTGGGAGGAGTGGTCATTGCCCTGGGAGGATTTCTGCCCAACATTCACGTGATCCTGAAGCCCAGGAGGCCAACCAAGTGCAAGTAAATGGATCAACATCTGTGGCCAGGTTTTCAGATCTGCTATAAGACGGACCATCACAAGAGATCCTTCCCGCCCACAACCATCAACATCTAGAACAACTCTTTTATAAAACAAAGAAAATGAGCTACAACAACATTTAATTTCCCTCTGGGATTAATAAAGTATTTTTTAATTGAATTGAATTGAAATCAAGAGCGATATCGTTGGAGGGGTCCCCCCCCCCACAGATCAGAAGAAGTAGCGTCTTTTCATCTTCTCTGTCCTGTGCGAGCGTTGACGTGTTACATAGCGTGCACAGCTGCAATGCGTCAACATTTGTTTGTGCATTATAGAGATGCATCTGCAGGTCGCCCGTTATCCACCCAGCGATTGTCACACTGACTGTGAGGCCATTTCTGAAGCCTACAGAGCAACAGATTTAGAGCCTCCTGTCAACCTCAAAGCACACTCGACCAGGGGTATCGCATCTTCGACTGCCTTGCATAATGGTATGACAATGCAGGACATTTTGCACTGCGGCCGCGTGGTCAACACCCTGCTCATTCATTCGCTTTTACCTACGTGCTGTAACGGCTCGTTCCATGACACATTCTGTCCTTAGTGCTACAGAATGAATGTTGTTGTTTTCATGGAACTCTGTTTAAGCTCACTTCTGTCTGCATGCATTACAGTGTGAGATGTTGTTATCAGTCACAAGTTGTGATTGCTATTTTGGTTCTATTGTCACTAATCAGTTCATGACTATTGTTACCAATCAGTTCATTTGATCAATAATCAGCTCTCCTGTTATTATTAATCTGTTCATACGGTTCAGCCATAAACCGGTTGGTTCATGGCTCTTTTCAGCTTTTTTCCCTCCCCGTTGAAGTTTTCCGGGGCGTTCATGCATTCAGAACGGATAGTTACACAACATGCGTCTGTGTATGGCACACATAATTACGCAATGCGTAATTACGCACATGGGGAGCTGAGTGACAAGATGTTTTTTGGGCAAGCTTCTGCTTCACACGGTGTTCGAATGGACCCAGTGAGGCGAGGACAACATCCGCTTCGCCCTTAACCCACTAAACGACAGCCTTAAAGGGCGAAGCTTATACGAAATAGAACGTTGGTTACGTACTGTAACCCCAGATTCTATGAGTATAGGCGTAGCCCTTTAAGCGTCGGGCCTCACTGGCTCCTAAATGGCTGAAGAAAAAGCTCTTTGGGAGTCGATTACCCGCTCTTAACGTAATTTATACGGACCGGGTGGGGCCCACACAGCAGGTGGGCGTGGACTAAATTTTTCAGTGCGATGATTTGCATGACGGGATAAACCCATCAGCGACAGCCTTAAAGGGCTACGCCTATACTCATAGAATCTGGGGTTACAGTACGTAACCAACGTTTTGTGTTGAGAACAATCATTTAGAAATTTTTACTTCGCTACCTGAAATATAAATATCGTTAAGCCCTAAAGTTATAGAGTTCTTACAATTCAGAGTGTTGACCTACCGGAAACAAACAGATAAGCGCTGTGCTCAGCGGTGCCGTCCTTTGTAAAGATGCGCAGAGTGTAGAGGCCTTCATCGTCCTTGGCCAGGTGAGGCAGAGCGAGATACGCTGCACCTCCACTCACTGACATCTCTGCTAGATTACTTGGTTTCAGCAGTTTATCTGTCAAAAGACAAAATGGAAAAGGAAATTGTAAAGAGTGAACAAATATCACAGTTAACCAAAAATAGTTGGAAGCCAGGCAACATTTTCAAAACTAGCAATAAAAAACAAACATAAACCCTCCACAGTGTCACTTTCTAGCTCTGTGGGATTCAAGAGGAATGAAAGGATGTCTAACCATCTCTGTACCACTGGGCGAGGGGTGGAACATTGGGAAGGTCAGGAACAACCACCATAGTACACACTAGCTTGATGGAGTTGCCCTCCACTCCAAAGCTAACTGGGAACCTCTCGAGCAGGGTGACCTCAAGCTTACTGGGATGGATCTCAGTCAGATGGGGCACTGGACAGGAAGACAAAAGTAAAACACCATTAGCAACAAAATTAGTATTTCTTGACAATTATTCTTTCTTGTTTAGTTTGTTGTATGTTCTACCAAAGATTACAGATGAGGATGAGATGAACAGATTTTTATAATGGTTACCATTCAACTATAGCAGAAACATACATAATTAAACATTTTATTATTTGTGGGAATGCTAAACCACTCGTTTTCTTTTTTATGTACAAGGAGTTTCAAAACATACTTTTATTTTAAAAGAATATTCATAACAATTTTCTTATTTAGAATAAACTGACCTTCAGGAATTTAACAATGACACTGAAAGGCTGAAAAAATATAGAAACTGATGAGTTACACTGTAACAAGCGTTACAAACTCCCAGTCATAATAAATTTCAAACAGTACTTTGTTAAAAAAGAAAGTTAGTTTAATGAGCTCTCGATTTCAGGTCAGAAAAGCTCTCGAGGGGGGAGATTGGGGGGGTGTTTTTTTTTCTTATTTGTCTATTACCCTAAACACTACATATTACTTTAAAGTATGTGTTTATCTGAATCATTAAACTTAAAATGATTCCAGTCAGAAAATCTCATTGGTGCCACTGATTATTGACAGCTGTGGTGGAGAGAGGAGAGTTGTGTGTATAGCAAGTAGTTCTCCATCTCCACCTTCTACCACTTAGCCATGCTAGATGATACAGTAGTTATAATATACACACACTGAACAATAACATAAATGCAACACTTTTGTTTTTGCTCCCATGTTTCATGAGGGGAACTCTGAATTCTTCAGTCTTGAACACATCAGGCCTTTAAATGTTGTTCACTAATTTGTGTAAATCTGTGCTAGTGAGCACTTCTCCTTTACTGAGATAATCCATTCACCTCACAGGTGTGACATATCAGTATGCTGATTAGACAGGATGATTATTGAACAGGTGTGCCTTAGGCTGACCACAATAAAAGGCTACTGTAAAATGTGCAGTTATGTCACACAGTACAATGCAATGAGTGGATCATTTGTCATTGCACACTTAATGAACTGGCTATATCTGGAAGCCCGACCCAAGGAACAAGAACTGAATCATCCTTTTTGCTAGTTTTGTTTAAAAAAAATAAAAAAACTCTTGCATTTTGTTGTGCAGATTTGAAACAAACAAAACAAATTATACATTAAAATTTTCTTCTTATATCAGAATATTGTGCCAAAACTTTTGGTAGTGGACCTGATGACCAGTGGAGGTTTGGAAATGTCTTGGAGAGATGGCAGTGAAGTTTTTGACTCAAACATTCAGTGGCATATTTGAGGGTGAGAAAATGCCTGAGGAATGGAGAAGAAGTGCTGGTGGCCATTTTTAAGAACAAGGGTGATGTACAGAGTTGTAGCAACTTCAGGGGAATTAAGTTGATGAGCCACACGATGAAGATCTGGGAGAGTGTTGTGCAAGCAAGACTTAGACGAGAGGTGACTGAGCAGCAGGATGGTTTCATACTGAGAAAGAGCATCACAGATCCATCTTTGATTTGAGGATGATGATGGAGAAGAACAGAGAAGGTCAGAAAGAACTCCATTGTGTATTTGTGGATTTAGGAAAAGCATCTGACAGAGTGCTGAGGGAGGAGGTGTGGTGTGTTAGACTGTTACAGGACATGTATGAGGACAGCAGGACATGTACAAGGACAGCAGGACATGTATGAGGACAGCAGGACATGTACAAGGACAGCAGGACAGTGGTGAGATGTGCTCTAGGATTGACAGATAGCTTCAAGATGGAGGTGGGAGTGCATCAAGGATCAGCTCTGAGCCCCTTCTTGTTTGCTTTGGTGATGGACCGACTAACAGATGAGGTCAGGCAGGAATCCCCATGGACTATGATGTTTGCAGATGACATTGTGATCTGTGGTGAGAACAGGGAACAGGTGGAAGAGAACTTGGAGAGATGGAGGTATGCACTTGAAAGAAGAGGAATGAAAGTCAGCCGTAGTAAGACAGAGTCCATGGGTGTGAATGAGAGGGAGGAGGTGGAACAGTGAGGCTACGAGGAGCAGAGGTCACAAAGGTGCAGGACATCAAGGACTTGGGGTCCACTGTCCAGGAAAATGGGGAGTGTGGTGAAGAGGTGAAGAAGAGAGTCCAGGCAGGATGGAGTGATGGAGAAAAGTTTCAGGAGTGATTTGCGACAAAAGGGTGTCAGCAAATGTCAAAGGAAAAGTTTACAAGACAGTGGTGAAACCAGCTATATTGTATGGTCTGGAGACAGAGACATGGACAAAAAGACAGGACACAGAACTGGAAGTAGCAGAAATGAAGATGCTAAGGTTCTCCTTAGGAGAGACAAGGATGGATAAGATTAGGTACAGCACAGGTTGAACAACTGGGAGATAAAGTTGGGGAGGCCAGACTGAGATGGTTTGGACATGTCCAGAGGAGGGACAGTGGTTTGGACAAGTCAAGAGGAGGGACCGTGGGTATATTGGTAGAAGGATGTTAGAAATGCAGCTGCAGGAAAAAGACAAAGAGGAGATATATGGATGCAGTTAGAGAGGACATGGAGGTAGTTGGAGAGAGGACAGAGGATGCAGAGGACAGAGAGAGGTGGAGGAGGAGGACTCGCTGTGGAGACCCCTGAAGAGGGAAAAGCCGAAAGAAGAAGAAGAAGAAAGAAGACTCTTACCTAGACCAAGCTGGCAGGACTCTGAGGCTCCTCCAGGTCCTGTGAAGGAAGTCAGTTCTCATTTTCAGAGTTCAGCTTCCATGTAAATAATGTTTTTAGACATTGGGACTGGTTCAGACTTACTCTTCACAATGATTGAAGCCTTGCTGGTAGCCGTGCCATGCTGGTTGGTTGCCACAGCGCTGTACTCAGCCGTATCACTCACAACACACCTTCAAGATGACACAAAAACAAGACAATCAATGAAATATGGACATACAGAAACTGAAGGAATGCATTTGAAGACTGATATTTTTAGCTGTCGTTCAGCCTTTTTTAGGGTAATGTCTTCATTCCGTCTTGTTTTAAATTTTTGTGCCTTTTTTCTTGTTTCAAGATATAATGAACATATTTTAATTTTTTGTCTGTTATACAGGTTTTTGTTCAACAAAATTTTATTGTACGTTTTTCAAATTTTCAGAAAAATGTGGGGTTTGTAGAAAGTTTACCAACATCCTATCAGCAGTCGACAGCAGAACTGAAAAAGGTTACCGTATTTTTCGGACTATCAGGCGCACAGGATTATAAGTCAGAGTCAGAGTCAGAGTTTCTTTATTGTCATTCGCACCTCATGTGGTACATGTGGTGGAGCGAAATTATGTACACAAGGTCCCAGTTACATCCAACAATAAAACGTCTAAGAAAAACAGTAATAACATCTAAGATATGAACTAAGAAAAACATCAACTAAATATACACTAAGCACTCATAACATAAAACATTGAACATCAGCACAAACATGAACATGAGTCTGTGAGCAGATGTGCACGCATGAACACATCAACATTGAAACAGATCAGCAGCAACATGAAACAGATCAGCAGCAACATGATATGTTTTTTCACAGTGATTATTCTGGTTAGAGATTCATGAGGCGCATTAAGTGAAACAAGTTCATTTTTACAGATTTTTGAGCGCCATGTATCACATAAAATCAGTTCGAGGTCAATAAGCACAACCAGAATTAATACATAAGGTACACCAGATTATAAGGTTCACTGTCGATTTTTGAGAAAATTCAAGGATTTTAAGTGCACCTTAAAGTCTGAAAAATATGTTAAACAATAAGAATAAATTATACATCTGTGTGTTACACAGGTGGAGTTACAATCCACACACAGCTGAATGTAAAGTCCACTAACACATAAAACTTTTATAACTCTGAGCTGATAACTGGAGTGACTAAAAGAAGCTGCACTCTCACAACAATTAAAGATTTGTCTTAGATGAGAAGAGAACGAAGACATGTGAGCTTCAGCCTACACCGAACTATTTTAGGACGATATCTTTTCTCAGCTGTTGGGGTATGAATTTTGTGACCGCCTAACAAAGATTTTTTTTTTTTTTGCCCTTTTGAATAGGAATAAAAAGATAATTTAAACAGTACTGTCATACATGTTAATGCAACAATTTCCCTTAAGTAACTAAAATCAATGGTTATTGCTTCAAACAGAAGGAGAGGCAAGGCGAGGGGGGGATGGCGTAAAGGAGGAAGAGAGGAACAGAGAGAGAAAACGGGAGCATGCAGTGACAGGAATTCAGGGCTTGAATGACGCAAAGGTCAGCACTTCAGCACCAACAGCTGAGGGGTCTTCAAGACGACGGAAGGGGGCGGGGTAGGCTGCATGAACCCACCCTGTTCATACTGGTAATACCAACTCTGGAAAAACTAAGGAGTAGTGCAGAACATTCAGACTTTAATCTATCCTGAGAATCCTTCATCTTTTTAATCATTTGAAAGTTTATTCGGCTCTTGATGGCACTCACACTGGGGTAAATCATGTTCCGATTAGAGTTACTGGGAAAGAAAACGCAACAACCAAATATTCTCTCAAATATACTGTTAAATCCCAAGTATTAAAGATTTCTAAATATTTAATGTGGATAAAATAACTGTAAGATCATTATTCAATGGTTTAAAATACACACTAGTATTTTAAAAAGTTTAATTTGGAGCTTTTGAGTTTTATGTGTAGTATTTTGCTTTGTATTCGTAAACAAGTGTTCTTAAAATCAATTGTCATTTTACTGTTGAACTTAAATTTTTTTTTGTAAATGCACATATTTCAAGTACTAGTTATTATATTTTTTATACAAGTACAAATAAGTTGCTTATACCGATTTCTTTTGCATGTTGACTTAAAACCACAGAATAAACTGCAATTATCTGTGAACAACTGCAGCCTTGAAGTTCTACTTAATATAATTTAAGGTTGTCCATTTTAGCTTCCTCAAAGGACTCAAAGGACTTGTTTTGACACAACACCTTATTTTACACACATCTGTTGTGTTATGAAATATCCATCCATCCATCCCTTATCTTCCGCTTATTCCGAAGTCAGGTGGCGGGGGCAGCAGCTTGAGCAGGGAGGCCCAGACATCTCTTTCCACAGCCACCTCTTCCAGCTCTTCTGGGGGGATTCCAAGGCGTTCCCAGGCCAACCGAGAGACATAGTCTCTCCAGTGTGTCCTGAGTCTTCCCTGGGGTCTCCTCCCAGTTGGACATGCCTGAAGCACCTCTTTAGGGAGGTGTCCAGGGGGCATTCTTACCAGAAGCCTGAACCACGTCAACTGGGTCCTCTCGACATGGAGGAGCAGTGGCTCTACTCCGAGTCTCTCCTGGATAACTGAACTTCTCACCCCATCTCTAAGGGAGAGTCCAGCTACCCTGCGGAGAAAACGCATTTAAACCAACTGTATCCACAATCTCATTCTTTCGGTCACTACCCAGAGCTCATGACCATAGGTGAGGGTAGGAACGTAGACCGACTGGTAAACAAAGAGCTTTGCCTTACAGCTCAGCTCTCTCTTCACCACAACGGACCGGTACAGAATTCGCAATACTGCAGATGCTGCACCAATCCGTCTGTCAATCTCACGCTCCATTCTTCCCTCACTTGTGAACAAAACCCAGAGATTCTTGAACTCCTCCACTTGAGGCATAACACCACCCTTGAACTGAAGAGAGCAATCCACCCTTTTCCGGTTGAGGACCATGGCCTCAGATTTGGAGGTGCTGATTCTCATCCCAGCCGCTTCACACTCGGCTGCAAACTGCTCCAGTGAGAGCTGAAGATTATGGCACAATGACGCCAACAGGACCACATCATCTGCAAACAGCAAAGATGGAATACTGAGGCCACCGAACCGGAAACCCTCCGCCAGCTGGCTGCACCAAGAAATTCTGTCCATAAAAGTTATGAACAGGATCGTGACAACGGGCAGCCCAGGCGGAGTCCAACTCCCACCCTGAAGGGGTCTGACTTACTGCCGGCAATACGAACCCAACTCTCGCACTGCTTGTTCATTCATTCAACCTTTATTTAGACAGGTTAATCCCATTGAGCCTTGAGGACTCATTTACAAGAGACCTGATTTCAACAAAGAATAATGACAAAACTGCTTGTATAGGGATTGAACAGCCTGTAACAATGGTCCTCCAATCCCATACTCATGGAGCACCCCCCACAGTGTACCCCGAGGAACAAGGTCGACTGCCTTCTCCAAGCCCACAAAACACATGTAGACTGGATGGACAAACTCCCATGACCCCTCAAGGACCCTAGTGAGGGTAAAGAGCTGATCCAGTGTTCCACGGCCAGAACGGAACCTGCATTGTTCCTCTTGGATCTGAGGTTCAACCAACAATTGGACTCGCTTCTCCAGTACCTCTGAATAGACCTTACCGGGGAGGCTGAGGAGGGTGACACCCCTGTAATTGGAGCACACCCTCCGGTCCTCCTTTTTGAAGAGAGGAACCACCACCCAAGTCTGCCAATCCAGTGGCACTGCCCCCGATGTCCAAGCGATGTTGCAAAGGAATGTCAGCCAAGACAGTCCCACAACATCCAGCGCCTTAAGGAAATCAGGGTGAATCTCATCCACTCCCGGAGCCCTGCTGCCTCAGAGCTTTTTAACTATCTTGGCAACCTCAGCCACGGTTATGGACGGATCAACCCCAAAGTCCCCCGACTCAGATTCCTCAAAGGAAGATGTGCTGGTGGGATTGAGAAGGTCCGATAAATATTCCTTCCACCTCCCGATGACATCACTGATTGAGGTCAACAGCAGCCCACCTTCACCGAACACAGTGTTAGTAAAGCTCTGCTTTCCCCTGCTCAGCTGTCTGATGGTTTGCCAGAATCTCCTTAGAGCCAACCGAGAGTCTCTATCCAAGGTCTCACTGAACTCCTCCCACATCCGGGCTTTTGCCTCAGCAACAGCCAAGGCTGCACACCGCTTAGCCCTCCGGTACTCTTCAGCTGCCTCCAGAGTCCCACTGGCCACCAAGTCCCGATAAGACTCCTTCAGCTTGACAGCCTCCCTAACCCGGGGTGTCCACCACCGAGCTTGTAAATGGCCACCCCGAGAAGCACTGACAACCTTGTGGCCACAGCTCAAGGCAGCTACCTCAACAAGCGCGGCACAGAACATGGCCCACTCAGACTCAATGTCCCACACCTCAGCTGGGATGTGGTTAAAGCTCTCCCGGAGGTGTGAGTTGAAGATCTCTCTGATGGGTTCTTCTGCCAGGCATTCCCAGCAAACCCTCACTACACGTTTGGGTCTACTAGGTCTGTCCGGCATCTTCCCCCGCCATCTGATCCAACTCACTACCAGGTGATGACCAGTTGACAGCTCAGCTCCTCTCGTCACCCGAGTGTCCAAAACAAACAGCCACAAATCAGATGACACGACAATGAAGTCAATCGTCAATCTATGACCTAGGGCGTCCTGGGGCCAAGTGCACATATAGACACCCTTATGTTCGAACATGGTGTTTGTGATGGACAAACTATGACTAGCACAGAAGTCCAACAACAAAATACAGCTCGGGTTCAGATCAGAGAGGCTATTCCTCCCAATCACGCCCCTCCAGGTCACACTGTCATTACCCACGTGGGCATTGAAGTCCCCCAGCAAAATAAAAGAGTCCCCAGCTGGTGCACTTTCCAGCACCCCTGTCAAGGACTCCAAGAAGGCTGGATACTCTGAACTGCAGTTCGGCGCATAGGCACAAACAACAGTCAGAGACCGTCCCCTCACCAGAAGGCGAAGGGAAGCCACCCTCTAATCTACCGGGGAAAACTCCAACACATAGGCACCAAGTCGGGGGGCTACAAGTAGACCCACACCAGCTCGATGCCTCTCACCACGGGCAATTCCAGAGTGG